AAACACTCTTAAAAATTCCACTTGGAGGCCATGGTGGTTAAAGGCACTGGACTTCCGCATGACTGACTGTGGTTCGAGTCCCAGACTGGTGGCTGCTTTCTCTCTCTCTTGTTCTTACTCTGTCCTTCTCCGGTCAAATTGAAATAAACAAATGAATAAATAAATAAGTAAAATTAAATAAAATAATTCCTTAAAAAAATTCCAATTGTACTGTAATAGAAAATATCTCTTAAAAATTCCTCAAACCTTGTTAGCAATATTAATGGTTGTTATATCTAATAACTTTATCTATTTATATAATTAATATTCCTTATAGCATTAACCTCATAGATACTTCAAGCAAAAATAAATGATTTTGTATAACATTTTATTAGAACTTAATATATTAAACTTAATATATTAAATGTATTAAACTTAATATATTCAATTACTGCTCAATATATTACATTCTAAAATAAAGCTGGAATCTTTGAAAAAGTTTGAAAAGACAAACTGAAAACAAAGCACCAGTAATCTTTTGACGTCAAATTTTCAAAGAAAAATAAAATCACTCCCAAGATACATTGTCATATTTTCAGTGTTTCTGACAGTGTCCATCCCATTCTGTTATCAGGTATGAAATGTGGTGCCTCCTCTCCACGTGCACCTGTATTGTTTTCCAGGTGAACAGAATGGTTCTACCAAGATTTCATTACTGTTCACAGTTGGTGCCTTGTAATTCTATGTAATTTTAATTAAAGAAGAATTCTGAAACAGACTCCCTCTGCACTACCTCCAAGCATACAATTAGCAGAGTACAGTGTCTGCTGTGAACAGTCAGTTAATGATTTCAGTTTAATAATTTATTCTTACTTTTTCAGTGCCAGCTATCCTAGAAAAATCAGAAGCTAAAACTGTATGTAGCCAATGCATTTAAGGTACATAGTTTAATCATTTCAAAAGGGTGGCTTTCTGTATGTAAGTCTAATGTCTCTGCAAGCCCCCAAATTTTTATAAATGAGTGAACAGCATTTTCTCTCTCAAGGATTCAAGGAGAAAATAAATTTAGATTTCCTTCTTCAATGTAACTATGTCTAGCAGATGGTTTTTATGTCAAAGCATCTTCCTCTCACTATTTCAAAACAAGACATTCTTCTCAAGTACCCCCCTGGGGGGGGGAATAAGTTTATACACTGGTATTAAGTCAAATTTAAAATAGTTTTTTTTAAATGTCTCTAACTTCTGCAGTGAGACATTTCCCTAACTTGAAAATCTGGACAAGTGAGTCGAGCTGCAATTCTTGATCCTAAAATACATTTTCATTTAAAGAAGTCATGTTATTATAGTATAAAAAAAAATGAGGCGTTTCCATTAGTTATTCTTCTTTTAGGAAATGTGAAGTCTCTAAATAATCATCATTTTTGCACTGACTTTGTATCATATTAGTGTATTCTGGAGTTAGTGCCTCAAATGTAAAGATGTAGGAAAATTAAGTTTGACATAAAACATCAGCAGCAAAGAAACAACCATACTTTTAATGACACTTTTTAATATTGGCATTAAAGAAGGAATTCACAACATAATTTTATTTTCGTTGTGGGTATAAAAAATCATGGCTATTATATAACAGTAAAATTTTGTTTTTGTATCTATTCATAGTCATAGGTATGCCACATACAAAAGATCTCAAACTTCTTAATAGTTAAAACCATGGTTTCCAATATACAGGTTAGCATTCTTTTTCCTATAGAAATCAGTGCATTGTAAATACTAATTAAAATTACTTATGGTTGTCTTACATATTATTTCTAGATCGCCATTTAAAACTACATAACCAAGGAAAAAGCATCATAGAAAAGTAAACATATGTGATTAAAAATCATAGCTGTAGAGTCTCCCTAAGATCACTCTACATTTTGGCGCTTTGCACTTGAACTTAGCTCTATAGCATCTCATGTCTGTATGATAACAACATAGAGCCGAAGTGTAGTTACTGGCTGGCTGTGGTGCCTCATGGTAACACTGTGCTCAGTGACGCTGAAGCCACGTGGGAAGCCTGGTTTTGCTCCTGTGGCCTCCCTGTATGTGTTGGGAGCTGGACAAGGAAGCACATGTGTGCCTATAGCCCCAACTGGCTAAGGGTGGCAGTGAATGGCAGTGTACTGACCCTATAGGGAATACCCATCTCTGTCTCTGTCTCTTTTCTTTCTATCTCTATCCCTCTCATGGAAAAAGTAAGTTTAAAAAAATAAATAAACTTGAAGACCGTACATAGCTACATGAAGCAGTGAAAAAGTTCAGTCTGTCCTCTACTCTCAAAGGGTAGGTAGAATGAGTGAATATCCTGGACCTTCTTAAAAATATCATTTAAATGACATCTTAAAAATATCATTAAATACAACAACCACAGGAGTACAGAGGCACATGCCTTTACTAAACACATCCAGCAGTAAGTACTGCAATAAAACTTCTTGCAATGTGTAACATAATGCTGGATTTATGTTCACAAATCAAAGCATAAATGGCAATGTAATCATGTCACATTTGATCCAAAGCTTTACAGTAAACAAGAAATTTTTTAAAAATAGCAATTACATCACTGTCTTTATGTTATTGTTCATTGGCCTCTTTGAACGTTTTTTTTAAAAAAGTGGCCCTATTCACATTTTTAAAAAGTAGTCCTAAAAGTAAATGACATTTTATCTTTTCCTTTGATTTTACTGTTGCTTCATGTGTCAATCAAAATGTACTAAAATTCACACCTACTTTCAATTTGTCCCAGTTTTGTAATTTAGTTTATATTTTGTAAACAAATTTTAGGTAGAAAACAATGGGTGGCCATTGCTTTTTTTCACAATAGCTTTAATATGAGTTGCTTAAGAAACACTTTTAACCAAAAGAGTAATTTAAAGAACTATATTAAAAGTATGCCCTCTTGTCCCTAAAGTGGAAAATGTATTCTCTGCTCCCTTATATGTGTTTTGGAGGGTAAGAACAATTGCAACCGTTTGTTTTTCAGATATTCGGGACAGTGGGGGCCCCAAACCTGTGATGGTGTATATCCACGGTGGCTCGTACATGGAAGGGACTGGCAATTTATATGACGGCAGTGTCTTGGCGAGTTACGGCAATGTGATTGTCATCACGGTCAACTATCGACTTGGGGTGCTTGGTAAGACATCTTTTGCTTATTTTTCACCATAATCCATGAGGAATGTGATAGTTTTGTTTTGACGTGTTTTGCTTTCCTTTGTCTTATCCTTGTTCTATGCTTGTTGACTTTTTTGGAACAAAAGTTTTGGTAGTGTTGGTAAATTCTAAAAAATGTGTGTAAATGATTTGAAAAAGGGCAGCACTTCAGGTTGATTTTAAGATGTGAATCTAAGAGGTAATGAAATTATTCACACTGTTGAGGACCGTGCTTCCTGGTTTGGCTTTATAGAACTGTGAAATGCAGTAGTGACGAGGCCATAGCAAAGAAGAGTTAGTCCTCGGACAAATTTTCCTCTTTCCACTTTTCTTTTTTACAATGTTATAAAATTGCTTGAGGCTTGCTATGAGCTTAGAAACAAGTTTATATTCTCTTCTCGAATATGTGTATGGACGGACTTTGAGGAATGATGGCCATTGAGGTTTATAGGTTTCATTATATTTTCTTTTATAGGGATTCCCATAATTGGAATAATTTATCTGAGTGTATTTTGACTGAATTATTTAATTTTTAAAAACATGCATTGATTTATAAAGTGAAAAGATAATAATGCACACTGTTAAAAATATTTACAAAATAGAGTCAAAGTGAAAATTCTGTTTTGAAGGAAAGTATATAGAATTATTGTTTTTAAAATAACTTTCAGGTACTCTGAGATAGACATCTTGTCTTATGTAATAACCAGTTTTTAAAACATAAAATTGCTGTTCTACTGGTTTAAGCTTTTTATCAGTGTTGTCACATCTGAGAAATAATATTGTGTCACTTTATAAAACATACTCATCTGTGGTATTTTAGTTAGCAAAATTTGCTAGAAGAGCACAATTAATCTACAAAAGATATTTTTTAAATCTAATTGTTCTCAAAGTTTTATTCCATCCTACATATTTAAAGAGCTATAATTTATCATTTTGTTTGGACACAAACAGATGTCTCTTATTTTCTTTTACCATGAAATATGTTTTTAGAGAAATTTGAATTTGAATTGTATCCTCTTACAAAAATGTGTAATGACTGTAAGTATCATACATTTTAGTCATGTTGAAAATCAGGTTTTTATCCTTTTCAGTGTTAGTTATCATCGTTCTAACTCCAAATTCTCTTTCTGCTCATCACAGAATACAAGGTATTTTTATCAATCGAGTTTATATATCTTGGGGAGGGAGATATTTTAACAATGTAGGGGTGAAATCTTGATTTTCTCTTAGTTTTCTGCTTTGAAATTTGGAGTATATAAGTAATAGGATAGAAACATAAGTAGATTTTGCAGGTAGATGTAGAATGTTGCTTCTTCTAATGTGGAAGTCACATTAGTTCTCCCACAGTGTCTAACATTGCTTCAGGTATCCTTAAAATTTCTGTTGGCAGATGTCAGTGTTTTTCATCCTTGAAAAACGTGTACATTAGAAGATACGTAAATAGGGGTTCATCCTAATTCTTGAATATCTTAGTGTGAACATTTGTTTTCTATGGGGCACTTTAAGGGAGGGTCTTCGATATATTTAATGCATTCCATTTCAGTTAATACATAAATAGGGGTTCATCCTAATTCTTGAATATCTTAGTGTGAGTATTTGTTTTTTATGGGGCACTTTAAGGGAGGGTCTTCGATATATTTAATGCATTCCATTTCAGTTATAACATCATTTATTCCTCTATTTTATTGACGATTACTCTCAAGTGAAAAACCTCAGCAGTGACCAGTTTGCAAATTAAAAAATTAAATTCCAAATTATGCTAACAGCCTTTTTAAGAATTGAACATACCATTATTTAGCATATATTTATTTTATTAAAAGAAAGTTTTCTGGCCAAACCTTATGTTGCCTTTTTCTGTTACTGACTATAAACACATGACGGTTTCATAAAATAAACTTTTTTATATTAATATAAGGTTTGACTTTTTTTTTAAATGTATTCAGAACTCGTGAGGACTTGTTGCAATCTCTCCATTTCGAATCCTTCATTTATGCTCATATCTTATATTTAAATGCTATATTCTGAATGATTAAATTGCATGACAACAGATTAGTTAAAAAGTGAAGAGCTCAAACAATTGATTGGTGCATATAATGGCAGAGTGTTGGAGTTGATGAGGGACAACTTTACCAAAAACAACTATTTGTTCGGGCTATGCTGGAATCTAATATTTAATCTTCATTTGGCTCCTTTACTCCTTTAGACACATCATCCTCAGTACTCAGCCAAAGGCAGTCCTTTATAGAACTTCTCTCAAAATGACAAAGTACACAATTCTGTCAGTGAAACGTTTTGGGTGTATCTCAAGACATTAGTTCTGTAACAGTTGTATTCTGGTCACTCAATTCCTGAAACATGTGTTGGGCCTTGAGAAAAGGTGTATAAATGGATTAATTTATGACAAAGAAATGCTCGTCTGACACCACTGCAGCAATAAAGACTAGACGTCTGAGGTGGTTATTGTGGATAATTTGTCTAACAATAACAAGAGAAGCAAAGGTTTCCTGGATGTGATATTCAAAAGTACTGCTGCCCAGTTTGCACTTGGATGTATGTTGGAAATTAAGTAGAAAATAAGACTTGATCCCACACCAGAGAACACTCTGAGTTGTGTTTTTATTCGAGTGTTTTGGTGTGAAGAGTATTGGGTGTCCAGTGTACTAATGGCTAATGATAAGACGCTGGCTCGGGGCCTGCAGATGGCATGGTTGTTAAGGCGCTCGAACCAATCCCATGTGGCTGACCACAGCTTGAGTCCTGGACCTGGAGGCTTGAAAATCGTGCTGGGAATGTGTGCATGTGTGCCCAATATCTTGAGAGGAGAATGGAGAGAAGTGATTGTGGCATGGCCATCTCCCCGGGAGGGTGATTTCTCACTTTCCCTCTCTCAACCTCTTCTCTCTCTGGCGAAGGCAGGCACCCTACAGCAAAAAGAAAGTTTGCTTTGATATGATTGGCAGAAGAGATCAGATGTCTGGAACAGGTAAAGTAATTAGCATTGATTTGAATTTACCCTCTCAGAGGAGAAGCCTTACAATTTTCGTTTTTTATGTTTTGCTTTTAGCAAGAAGTAAACATAAGATATTCCAGTTGTAAAATTTATATAGTTATCTAGCAGCTTTGGTTCTAGTTTAAAGCATTTCATGTTATAAAAAATATTTTGTTACAAATTAGTAATAGCATAGAAGGAACAAAATGCTTGTGATAGCATTGCTCTGCAGAAGCTTGTAACGGCTCGCCAAGACGCTTCGAGGTTTCCATTGGAGTGTAATGTACGCCATCACTGTCATTATGTTGTGTATGTTCTTAGTTCCTGGAAATGCTATTGCTAATGGTAAGAAAAACTGTTAATAAGGTTAACAATGATGTGAGGGGACCAGGACCCTGCTTGCTGACCTCAACCCTCATTTCCTTTGAGAACGTCACTTGAGCTTGCCTCATCCATGCTCCTTATCAGTGATCTTTTAAACTTTTCACTTCTGGCTATATATATATATATATATATATATATATATATATTTCTCTTTAGCCAGTTTTAACATAAACTCTTTGCATATGTGCTTTCTTCAACATCTGTTATTAAATAAACTGTAACCTTTTAACATATATTATACTTGTTAGTAGTGTTTTTAATATTTGAATGTATTTTAAATAAAAATTAGTATCTTGAAAACTTGGGGGAAATGCTCTGATTATATGCTTTTAAAAGAAAAGCCCAACAGGCTTTTCTGTTGTTACAATCCCAGCCCGCTGATATTCGGGACATGTTGTGGCCAGAATATTTTTCCAGCCACCGGGGCTGGGATTCAAACTACAGTTGGCCGTGTGGGATCTGGCTACCTTAAACACTAAACTACAGGCTGGCCCGAGTACTCTACTTTTATTTTAATGTGGATATTTTGGAAGCAACTATGTAGTTCATAATTCTAGACCATGTGATTTATTTTAGAAATAAAATTTAAATATTTCAGAAGTACTGATATCTACCAAGAAATTTGGCAAGTTTTGAGGAAAGAATCTAATCAATATTATACGTAGTAATCTAATGTATACACCACTCATACATGGAAAAAATAAAGTACTAGTCCACCTACTTGTATTTGAAGAATTTCATTTACTTTTTAATGCCATGTTGGACTAAATCATTTTAAACAAGGTTTGTTAAATTTACTGCACATCAATTTTAATGAGCATTTCAATTTATTCTTATTCTATTAGACTTGGGTTAGTTAATTTTTTTAAAGAATTATTTTTATTTTATTTATTTATTATGATGATCATTATTTAATTTGCCCTAAGACATGTGCACTCTCCAGAGAGAGGCAAAGAGAGAGAGGGAAAGTGAGAAAGCAGGCCACCGGTTCCAGGGGTCAAACTGATAGGGCATGAAGGAGGCCAGTGTCTCAATCACCATGGCCCTGCTGACCCTAAAGTTTGTTAATTATTATTAAATTTTCTGTATAATAATAATGATTCAAGTATTATCAGACAAATGACAGAAATAGATATAACTTTGGTATGGTCGGTTGCAAATAGCAGTACTGTGTCCAACAAGTGTACATTCTTTTCTGAAGAATATAAAATTGCCCTTTCATTTAAAGAGTTTTCCATTCAACTGAGAGGAGAAATAAATAATCAATAAAGATTAGTAATTAATATTCTATTTATAGTTTTTATAATACTGTGTTCAATCACTGATTTATATGTATAAAGTCATTGGATGTAGAAGGAGAACAAAAAAAAATCAGAACAACAGAAAAGAAAAGAAACATTAAATATCAGATAAATTACTAAGGATGTAGTGATTGAGATTTATATTTGAATCTGAAAGGCCTTAGAGCAGATTTGCTAAAGTCTATGGATGTTCAAGGTATTAAGAGAAATGAATATTAATTCCTCAAGTGGTACGTTGTTTTATCATTCTTATTCTTGTTTCTTTGAGTTGCTTTTGGGTCTGCCTGGCTCTAAAAGGAAAAACAAAAT